TCGGGGACGAAACATTTTCCCGAGCAGGGGAGTGCAAACATATTTGAATTTTAATTAAATTCTTGGATTTCATTCATACTCATATTTTGTAAAATTCGTATTAGGCCCATTTCAAGACTTTATATAAATCCAAAGTAAATTAAATATTAAATGTTCTAGTACAAAGGGACATGTAGAATCGCACCGACGAGTCTACATGAGGTATCTTATTCAAGTGTATTAATTTTATAAAAGATCATGTAGTTTTAAAATTTTTATGAAATCAATCACATTTAAACTTATATTAAATTTTATCCAATTAGTTTTAATATCCCTTATTTAACCTATATGTTCAATTCTCATTTGATACTGAGGGCCCGAAAAAAATCGTTCCTTTGGTTAATACGTAATTTGAATTATTGAATATTTAATATTCATATTTAAGTTTTATAAAGGGTTATAAATTAGATTAAGTAGGAAAATAAAATTTTGTATTTAATTCATTCAGAAGTGCTTTACACTCATAACATTACAGTTTCGAGTACTCTTGTATAAAACCATCGCTGTAAGTGTAACAGATTAAAAGAAGTAGACATATACAGGGTGACAAAAAAGTCTGGAAACGGCTTGATATCTTTTTAACTAAATTCGTTAGAAAATTAAAACTTTTCACATCATCTCATATGTATGAAAACTACTTTTTGCAAGCATTACCATTTTTTTACCTTCACCAGGGGACGGTCCATGAGGAGTAGGTACATAATCTTTAATGTAAGCATAGGTTGACATACACTTCATTTTAAATATCTGGTCAAGTGGAGTTCATTGCCGGAAACCGCGTCAAAAAAGATTCATCCGTTACAAAATGGCGGCAGTCCAAAGTTCTTGCGGAATACCTGAAGAGGCCTTAGAATTGGTAAATACTCATATTCAACATTAGCCGGGAAATCTGAAACCCGTTTAAATTTGTTTTGAAGATTGAATAATATTAGTCTATGAGCTAGTTGACTTTAAAACACAGTTTTAGCTCCCAAGATAATGTTTAATACGAATATTTACCAATAGTAAGGCCTGTGCAGGTATATTCAACAAGAACTTTGGACAGCCGCCATTTTGTAACGGATGAACCTTTTTTGACGCGGTTTCCGGCGATAAACTCCACTTGACCACACCTTTAAAATTATGCATATCAACCTATGCTTACATTAAAGATTATGTACTTACTCCTCATGGGTCGTCCCCTGGTAGAGGTAAAAAAATGATAATGCTTGGAAAAAGTAGTTTTTATGCATGTAAGTTGATGTGAAAGGTTTGAATTTTCTAACAGATTTAGTTAAAAAGATATTAAACCGTTTCCAGACTTTTTTGTCACCCTGTATCTCTATACTCCTTTTATCTATGGTGTAACTAATGTACACCATTATCATGATGACAAGTATTTAACTCTAACGTATTATAGCGCTTAGTACAACACTGTAAACATATTTGTATGACTTGTAAGATATTTTAATGACTCAGGCGAGTGCATTCGCATTGACTGCATGTGCATTGACATAGTGTTGTTACAACGTTGAGCTTTTGTATTGTTTAAATGTTTACGATAACACTACTGTGTTAATGTTTTCATTTTATTTGATCTGTTTTTGAAATGAATCTCTAAAATTAGGTGATTTTTGTTGGTCTGGCCACTGACACATAGTCCAATCCTCCCAGGGCAGTTGCGCATGGGTACTCTCCACAAACCCAGCAGCTTCTGGGCGAAACGGCAGAATTGACTATCACCAATCATCTGGAAGCCTCGTAGTTCCTGCTGGAGTCTTTTCTCTGCTATACCTTTCTGGTTATGGCTCCAAATCCATATGGTTGGCTCCATTTAAATTTTAATGGATTAAATAAGAATGATTTCCTTGGAGATATGGTAAAAATTCTCCCTAACTCGTGAATGGAGGTCGTTGATGAACTGGCCACTGACACATAAGCATATCTTCCCAGGGCAGTTGCGCTTGGGTACTCAAACCCAGCAGCTTCTGGGCGAAACGGCAGAATTGACTATCACCAATCATCTGGAAGCCTCGTAGTTCCTGCTGGAGTCTTTCCTATGCCATACCTGTCTGGTTATGGCTCCACCTCGAAGACTGTAGAATTGTCTTGGGTTGTTGATGTACTGGAATCAGTACATCAACTGCTGTACTGTAGTTATGTAGTATATATTATATTATGTAGTAATGTCATCTGCTTAATCTTTTTTGGGCTGTGTGCTGGCTTTTGTGTCAGCTGGAGATGATAACAATGCATCTAGCATATGTGAGGTGATTCGCAGTGATGAAAAATCTACTTTCATCGTATAACGATAGGTATGTTACTATTTACCTTTTTTTTTTTAAATCACCTAATTTTAGAGATTCATTTCAAAAACAGATCAAATAAAATTAAAACATTTACACAGTAGTATTGTCGTAAACATTTAAACAATACAAAAGCTCAACGTTGCAACAACACAATGCCAATGCACACGGAGTCAATGCGAATGCACTCGCCTGAGTTATTAAAATCTCTTACAAGTCATACAAATATGTTTACAGTGTTGCTTGGTACTAAGCGCTATAATACGTTAGAGTTAGATACTTGTCATCATGATAATGGCGTGCATTAGTAACACTTACAGCGATGGTTACAAACAAGAGTACTCGAAAATGTAATGTTCTGAGTCTAACGCACTTCTCTGGAGGTATGTATTGCTTGGTACTAAGCGCTATAATACGTTAGAGTTGGATACTTGTCATCATGATAATGGAGGCATTAGTAGCACTTACAGCTATGGTTGTATACAATTGTACTCGAAACTGTAATATACTCCGCCTAAAGAATTTCGTAAACGTGATTACAGTTATAGCCCTTTAACACTAGAAATATTATATTTTCAGTTCAGGAATGATCTATCTAACAAAAAACCACTAAGTGGTAACACTTTCCCCGCCAAGTCAGCAATCCAAAAAAGTTAATAAATCATTACTTTTTCCGCCAAGAAAAACAATGTAATGTATGTAAGTTTGGCAACTTGGCGGCAGACTTTTGCTTGGTTTTTTCATTTAAGTTACGTTCGTGGATAATTTCACAAATCAACTTCTCTAATTAATTAGTCCAACTAAGTATAATTTATGAAATGTGGCACAAATAAGGTCAAATTTTGTAAAATAAGCTCTCACCTAGCAATGTACCAATGGGAGGGATACTTGCTCAATGAAACTAGTTTTATGGTATTTTTTAAAGGGATCGAGCAAAAGTCTGCCGCCAAGTTGCCAAACTTACATTGTAACGGTCAAAAATTGCCACCTAAAAAATTTTTGACCTTATACAAAATAAATGCATATTAAACAAGGAGAGAAGATCGTTTTATTTGTTTTGGATATTTAAAGTAGAAATGAACGGAGTGGAAAAGTACTGGGCTGAGCAAACGTTGACCCCTCCTCAATTCGGAAGATTCTCGGAACGGCCGCTGCCGCGCCAGGCGCTAGTGTCGGGCCACGAGCGGGGTGGGGGAAGGCAAGAGCGAGCGGCAACGGAGAGCTAGGGATGAGCATCGATAGAAAAACATCGATGTTGACCATCGATGTTAACATCGAACCATAACATCGATGTGTGGAAAACATCGACCTCTAAACATCGATGAAAATCGGACCAAAACATCGATGTTTTAATAAAAATTCCGTAATTTTGTAAAAAAAGGACATTGGATCAAAACATCATTGTTTTAGTAAAAATTCCATAGTTTCGTATAAAAGGATAGGTAAACCACAAGTAAACACACAACAAATGTAAATCAAACGTTATCAAAAAATGTATTTAATTTCGTAAAGTTATTAGTACATTACAAAGGCTTTAGGCCTACTTTAATTCATTCCCAGCTCCATAGCGTGTCTTCAATGGAATGAAGGAAAATCACTTTGGAAATCAGTTTCCCCTCTAGTCTGTTTCGGGCTTTGGTAACTGTTTGTCCCACTTCGTTCGTTTGTCCTACGAGAATCTCCACTCCAGTAGCGTACTTGTACTAACAAAATTAGTTGTTGTTTTGAGAGTAGAGGTTTATTTTTAAAAACCTGGTAAAAATAAAACTAACAATTCCGTTTTATACTAGTAGATATATAAAACTGAAAAAAAAAACATCGTGTACAGTAAAATTCTAAAAACATCGATGTAAAACATCGATGTACGATAAACATCGTTAGCTCACTATCGATGGCAAAAACATCGAACATCGAAAGAAAACATCGATGTTTCGAAAACATCGGCCATCGATGCTCATCCCTACGGAGAGCTCAGTTGGTCAGTCTCGTACCAACCACCAGCCCAGTCGGACACATCCTCCCCGGTGAGTGCAGTATACCTTTGGTTACACCTTAGTAACACTGTAGCTACACTCTACCGCTCTTACGTTCGATAGCGTAACATACATTTTATCGTTGCTTAAGGGTTATTTCGTTTCGTTAATTAAAAGAAGAATATACTTTTGTTTACATTTTAGTTTGGCATAGAGGTTATTTGCCGTTTTAAGCGGCTCTGGGAACCAGGGTCGCTCCTCTGACACCCAGAGTCACTTCATCGATTTTATTTGTAGCTAGTCATAGAGCCACTATCAATAGAGGTCAGCCCTTTAAGCTTTAATCGTATTGGGAACCAGGGTCGCTCCCCTGACACCCAGTGTCGCTTAGTCAGTTTTAATCGTATTGGGAACCAGGGTCGCTACCCTGACACCCCGGGCTACTTGATCGACTTTCATCGTTTGGGAACCAGGGCCGCTCCCCTGACACCCTGCGTCATTTGACCGACTTTCGTTGTTTGGGAACCAGGGTCGCTACCCTGACACCCCGGGCCACTTGATCGACTTTCATCGTTTGGGAACCAGGGTCGCTCCCCTGACACCCCGGGTCACTTGACCGACTTTGCCGTCATTCGCCGTTATCGTTCGGGGTCCGATTCCTCTACGTTGTCCCTCAGTTTAAATCGTTTTAAACCGTCAGAAGTTAGGAGTTGGTGATGATGAGCCTCACAGAATAAACCTTGGTGTTTCGAGTCTGGACAGAGTTCTGAGCCTTCTCCTACAAAATCAAAAACCATTGCGACCGTGTTTAGGTAAAGACCTCGCTTGACCCCTGGAAGTTCGGAAACCCGTGCAGGCTGAACTATTTTGGGCACCGATTGAGATATTCCGAACACTCCACCGAAAACACGGTCACAACATACATTTCATTGTTTTTCTTGGCGGAAAAAGTAATGATTTATTGTCTTTTTTGGATTGCTGACTTGGCGGGGAAAGTGTTACCACTTAGTGGTTTTTTGTTAGATTTTATTTATTTTTGTAGAAAATTAACAGTTAAAATAAAAATCCTCTTTTCTCTGATATATAGACCACGGCACAGCTACATCTCATTTAATTTCAATAATATTGTTAATGTAGAACTAAATTCTACATTTTTGGTCTTATCTGCTTTAAACAGATTAAAAACTTTTTGACACACGTACCAAAATTACTATTTAACAAACCCACTGGGCTTAAACTCAGTTTCAAATTTCATCAATGCTCATCTTGAACAACATAAAATGTGTTGATGTTACATAAGTGTTCTAATAATTAAACCCGTATATCTAAAGACTAGTGTAAATTGAGCCCTTATTAGAGATGTAAAAATGTAATCAAACTAATTAGGTTTGTTAGAAATAGCATAAGGCAAAACAAATATTGAATAACTCATTTATCCTAAATTTACATATCACTTTTTAATTGCTTGTTTAACATATGTAGAGTGATTTTCCCGATCGTTTTATTTGTTTTAGTGTATCAAAACATAGAACAAACCTTAGTACTAGCGTACTAGTACTAAGTTTCAAGTTCCTAGGTTTCATGTGTTTTGATAAGTAGTATTAAACTGTTAAAAATGACGAGCTGCTGTACCAGTGTACCATCGGTACACTGCATTTTTCAATGGAAAGTATCGGGGAATATCACTGCTCTAAGTAATTTTATATAGTAAGTAGTTCAAATCATTCAGTATACCTGAAAAAAATACTTTATAAAAGTATTAAAATAATTTTTCAGCTGTTCCTATGAATTTCTCTAACATTTATTTAATTAATTAAGATTTAATCGCAGCTGGTCCTTCTTTTGTTTTGATTTTAATCCCATGTTATTTAAATGGGCCAAACTCGTACTTTGAGGGCTTGCCAAGGGTTTATGGGTCAACGCACCGACTTGAGACCCTCAAAAGGCACATCTACACGCTAAGGGCTTTCAAACAACATAAAAAACATTAAAATTGAGCCAGTGGTTTGGGCTGTAGGTCCGTCAACATTTAAGGAGAAGAAGGAGAACACGGAAAATTTGTGAATTTTCAAACTAGTTTTTCTTGGCTCAAACACAACCGTTTTTTAAATTCTTTTTTTTAATTTTGTTGAGAATGATTGCCCCTATCCAGTAGATGAACAATTATTTTATTAGCTTTTGTTTCTTCAGAGCTATAGACGAGTAAAAAAGCCACTTTGTCACGTCATGTATATATACACTGCAGCAGCTGTGTACCGCTGGGGGACTTGGCGGGGCGGAACGCTGCCGCGTTCCTTAATTTGTATATTGTTTAAAATAAACCGTTTGGAAAAAAATATAGGTGAGGGTTTTGTATTCACGCGCATGTACGTGTTCCAAAGGAAACTGTGTTATCCAATAACACCAATATACAGTTAATTTTTTTTTTCTCCTCGTTAAAATAAACAGTATTATAAAAGTTTTTTTTATAAAAGAGTAATTAATAGGCTTCCAAATAGCTAATTTCTAATCTATTTTAAAGGGTTTACTATAACACTGTTTATACTTTTAAGCCGTGCTTGGTCGAATACCTCTTGGAAAGAAGATTAGACTATAACCACAATGTAAAGGAAGGCAAGGTAAACACACTTGTAAGTATCATAAGTATCATAATACATGTTACTTAAACTGCTTTCTTAGAGTTAAATCTGGGGTAGCGGATTTTTATCCCCCTGGAATTTTACCCCCTGGGCAAACGTGACGTCACAAACCAGGGGGTAAAATTCCGGCCGCGATTTTTGAGTTTCGTGACATCAGCTCGATGGATTAAACGCGGAATTTAACATATATTTTCACGGTTGTGAGTTTAATCAGAACACATCAAATTATAAAAACCTAGAATGTACGGCCCGGATTTTTACCCCCGGAATTTTACCCCCGGAATTTTCCCCCCCGGATTTTTACCCCCGGATTTTTACCCCCGGAATTTTACCCCCGGAATTTTACCCCCTGGCCAGATGTATAAATTAGTGAGAATGATTAATTATCGTCATTCAGTTTTAATTTAATGGTAAACATTTTATTATTAAGTAGCCTATCTTAATTTATATGTGACATTAACTAATCGAACAGGGTTTTAATATTAATTTTGAGATTCGAGTGTCAGGATTCGATCTTTGAAGCCAACTGTTGGTTAATATGATCAAAATAAAACAGCGAATTCTGTTTACTTAGTTGAGATTACAAAATAAATACAGTAAATAAAGATAGGCTACTAAATAATGATGTTTACAATTAACTAAAAACAGAAATGAGAAAATCAATTATTCAATTTCTAAAATCAGCCAGGGGGTAAAATTCCGGGGGGGGGGGGGTAAAAATCCGGGGGTAAAATTTCGGGGGTAAAAATCCGGCCCGTACATCTTCAGTTTTCTAAACGCTAGTTATATGGACAGGGGGTAAAATTCCGGTTTTTATCGCTAATCTAATTAATCACGCTCTGACTATTTTCATTAGACTTCCAAATACGCGGGGGTAAAATTCCGGCCGCGAACAAACTTTTGGCCGCTCAGGTTACTACATCATAGTGACGTCAGCTTTGCCCAGGGGGTAAAATTCCAGGGGGATAAAATTCCGGCGACCCTAAAATCTTACATCATAATATTTAATAATATTAATCATTGGATCATATTGAGTAAAGTAAAGGGGAAGCTGGTCCAGAAAAATAATATATACCGACCAGTTTAAAGTGAAGGTACCAGAACGCAAAACTAGTAACATCACCACCTTAATTTGACAGTCTTGAAGCGCTACCGCTGAGCCACTATTACCACGGCCACCTTGCCGCTGCCTTCGAAGTGGCAACATCGCAAGTAGGGTTTTAACAGCGGTTTCGTTTGGAGATAGCTAATGGTATTTTTGTGTATTTTTCAAGAATACGAAAGCTTGGTTAATGGCTATGAAAATATTGACTCCGCATTAAATAAACAAAAATTAATTTTCAATTTACTATTGTTTTGGTTTTCAACTCTATGTTTTATTTTCAATCTATTAATAGTATTATGTTCATAAATTTTATAATACGCAAATTAATGAGTTGGTGTCACCTGTCTGCTATGTTATCTTATGGGACGTCTGGCGATAGACAACACTACTTATAAAGTTGCCAATTCTACCAGGCCACGGCCTGGAGTTAAAGGTGGCCGTGCTATAACTTACCAACTAATGGATTAATACACGCCAAAAATTCTTATCTTGAATACATAATTAACATAATTATATATTGTGTTAAGTTAAGGCAACACTATTAATGAGGAATTGCACGGAGTGTTCACACAGTCTTTTAGTGAAAATTGAGTAAGTTAAATTGGATATTATCGGATTTTCGGCGGGAGATAAGTTGTTAACTTTGATATTAGGTTGGTAAAACTGGAGAGTTTGCAAACTTAGTGATTTTGTTAGTTATTTGACATCAGTAATACCCAAACACCGTGACTAAGGAATATCTCTTACTCTGATGCCTGTCATAAGTATTACCAGAGGTGAGATAATTATACAGGATGAGACAGACCACCCGTACGCATATTTACGTACGTTAGTACGTTTTCACTTAGAAACACGAAATGAAATAATTCCTCGCTAAATCACCTACGAAGAATCCATTTAAAATACTTAGAGCATGATCATATAAAGCCAATTAGGCCAAGCACTTAGTGGTCCAGAAATGGAGGTCACGGGTTCGAATCTCGAAATTTACTTATGTCAATCTATATCTTATTATACATTTTTAGAAAGGGCTTGCTTAGAACAACATTTTTTTTAAACAGAACTCAATTAGTTTAAAAATGGAGGCCATTATTGAGAGTTATCCCCATACTTACGTAATATCCTGTATTTTCGAAACCGCTAAACATGTTTTTCGTTCTGATTCGAAATTCATAATCCTGGTAAACACAGCTTTACAATTATGTGTCACATGTAATAACTATCAAAATTATCCTTTTTACTAACATGTTTTTTTTGTAATATGGGCCCTGTAAATTAAAAAAATCAAAGGCAACATATGTCAAATAGCGTATCAAACTAAGCGTCTTGTTAAGATGAACAACTTTCCAATTTACACCTAGAGTCTATTTCATTGAGTATTTGAGAAATACACCAAAAACTAAACTTTCCCATATAAAATGCATATTTCTTTTAAAAGCCTAAAAAAAACTGTGCTTGGATCATGTTCTAAGTATTTTAAATTTATTTTTCGTCGGTGATTTAGGGGGGAATAATTTTATTTCAAGACAATCAAATGAGTGGATTTTACTGAAATGCTTTGGGAATTTTCTAAAGAATTGGAAATAACTTAGTTAAAATTATTTTAGTCATTAAACTCCTCTTTAAATACAAATGTTAAAATGATTGATAGGTAGCTTAAAATATGTTCCGTTATAAAAAAATATGTTTATATCTAAAAATATATTTAATGACTTTAAGTAACACTATTTGATTTACTAGCAAAGTACCCGTCATTCGTACGGCAATCGCATATAAGTATAAAATGTTTATCGCAGTAGTTATAGGCCTACTCAAGCTTTGCGTTTGCAATGGGGGGGGGGGCACAGTTTGATAAAATTTGCTTCTTTAAATTTACGGTATACTCTTAGTATTACACATCTACCATAGCAATAATGTTCTGCCAATTCACCTAAACAATAAAGAAAAATAAATTATTAAAGATTCGCAAAATATCACAAATTATTGATGAAATTAAAACATAAACATAACTGTAAACAATCCTACTATGACAGT